AAGAGTCTCCCCATGACCTCTGGAAGGGAGTCCTGGTGGTGTATCGGTTACAAGTTGCGTGGCTAACCGCAAGGTCAGCAATGTGAACTCACCAGCCATCGCACAGAAGAAAGGTGAGGCTTTCTGCTCCCATAAAGGTTTACAGCCTCAGACATCAGAGCAGTGGTTCTATCTGTGGGTTGTGACACCTTTGGGGGTCAAACGACCCTTTCTCAGAGGCTGCCCTATTCATAACAGTAGCAAAATAACTGTTATTAAGTAGCAACGAGTGCTTCTGTAGCACATATACTAAGTAGCAAGGAAAATAATTTTATGGTGGGGGGTCACTACAACATGAGGAACTGTATCAAAGGGTCTCGGCATTAGGAAGGTTGAGAACCACTGCTTTAGAGGGAACACTTCGCTGCTATGAACTGGAACTGACTCCTCCATGGCAGCGTCTTCAGTGCCTGGGTTTGGCCTGTGGAATGCAGTCACCAGTAACCTTCATCCCAACAGTCCTACCAAGCAGCAGCCGTTTTCTCCACCAACCCTTCGTGCCCAGCCTCTGAACACACGTGCTTGTTCAAGGTTCAAGGACAATCATCTCTCCCAGCTGCGCCTCTAGAACCTTTGAAATGTTTAACTTCAGATATGAGCTACCCCTCCCATTCTCCATCTTTAGTTCACTCTGCACATTTCTTGTTTGTAATGAGTCACTGTCATTTTTTCCAACACTACTCATACTGCATTCCTTTCTAAATGATTTCCAGGATGATGATTCCTCACACTGCCCTTTTGCCCTTCACCCTCCGATGTGCCTCATGTCGCAGACACCGTATACCGTATACCGATTGCCAGCACACGCACTCCCTATAAACTCAATTTGAAGGATACCGTTTTTCTGCTAGCTGTTCAATGCCCTCCTTCCCATATCCCTCCAGACTGTTCTCAAGACACACACACAAATGTCTAAACAGGTCAAACGCATCATTCTGTCCTTATTAACCCTTCGATGTCTTACTAACAGCCAAGGGAAAACACCCAGCTCCCTACCATGACCCATTTCTGAGGCCCCACTTCTACAGGACCCTCAATGTGATCTTCCATGCGTGACTGTAAATCAAGGCCGCATGCGTTACACCCCAAAATGTTAACCATTATCTCTAAGAAGTATAACTCAATGCAATGGTGACTCATTGATGATTGAATTACAATCAATTCTTCCATACATCCTGAATATTTTTAAATGCGTATAGTCGACGACTTCTCTAATTAGTTTATATTTACATAAATGCTTATACTAGGATTTTAAAAGGACACCGATCAACAAGAAAAGGTTGAAAGCATTTTAAAAGTCTCAAAAACGAAGTGTTTACAGGACATGGTTGGGGTGGACAAACGCCCCTTAAAAAGGCCGGGTAACAAATATTTCAGGTTTCGGGAGTCGCTGGGGGTCTGTAGGTGAGGCCAGTTGCTGACCCCTGCTCTCTACTTCATAGCATCTCTCTATCCTCACACAAACATCACTGCTATGCTTCACTAGTGGGCGCACGTGTGGCAAAGGCACTTAGAGCATGATCAAAGAGAAGCACACGCAGTACCAACGGCCACATGGGAAGCTCAGCTCAGTCACGTTCTTGTGCTTCATCGGCAGAACAGCCAGACTACCGAGGCACGCTTCGCAGGAAGCCACTCTCCCAGCCCCAATATATGAAGAAACGCC